TCCCCTGCGGGCTCCTCCGAGGCCTGGCTGGACTCCGCGGCTCCCTCTGCCGGCCGCTGCTCTCGGTCCCTGGCCGTGAGATCTAGCACCTCGCCGGCCGCCAACATCTCGGGATCGGACTGGCTATCTGTGTGAGCAAGCACAGAGGGGGTCAGGCCAGGCTGCCGGGCAGCCAGACCCCAAACCTAGCAAAGCTGCGCGCCCCTCTCACTGCCCAACACCCTCAAGGGGCCACACGATGGGGCGGGATGTGCCCCCCCACCCCCGAAGGTGCCAGTGACTCAGGCAGCAGACAGAGGCTTCGAGACAGGACAGGGTGCATTCACTAGGGGAGGCTGAGGAAGCCGAGCTGTAGTTATTTTTCCAGTGCAGAGAGATGATACAAACATGCAACATAACACAGGGCCACCTCCGAGGCCTCCAACACGGTCTGACAGTGGCACAGAATGGGCCTAAGCTCAGGCCCTACACGATGCGCTCCTCCAGCTGAGGGACGCGCCAGGGACTCACGCACTGGCCCACTTCCCCGGCAGGGGTAGGACCACTGTGGGAGGCGCATGGGCATGGGGACAGGTACAACAGTGCCTGCCTCCTGTTCTCCTCAGCGCACGGTGGAAGGAGATGCACGAGGCCCCAAGCAATGGCACCGGGGCAACACTAACACCAAGCAGGGATCCCACGTGCCTGTCACCGCTCCGGGGTCCCCGGAGGAGGTATAGCTCTCAGGGCTCACCTGTGCCGTGTAAAGCCGCTGTGTGGGCACCTCCGGGAGCTCAGGAGGAGATAATCGTGGTGTAAACACGAGATTTCTGACATGAAATAGGACTCCTGAGAGACAGGACTCCTGAGAGAAGTGTGCTAACGTCTAGGCCACATTTCACGGGAAAACTTAAATGTGCATTTTCTGTTGTTACTTCAGCAGAAAGCATCTATAGGACTTCTGGTATAAACTCTAGTGAGACTAGAGAAGCCTTAGCTTATTTGTCTGCTTTGTAATGTTTTTACTTATTTTTTTGGTACCGGGATCGAACTTGGGTCCTTGAGCTTGTCAGGTAGGTGCTGGAACCACTGAGCTAAATCCCCGTCCCTTGTAATTTTTTTTTAAAGGTCTAATGTCTGATTATTTCCACTTTGTCCCAGGATGTCCTTCACTGGGTTTTTCTTTTGAGACATGGCCTTAGTTCCCAGGCTGGTCTTGAACCAGACTCAAGGGCCATCCTTGGCCTCCCAAGGAACCTCGACCATGGGTGGGCCTAAAGCCTGGCACATGGGCTGTTTAAACCATGTGGAATACATTTAAGATGACAAACCTAAAAAAAAAAAAAAATTAATTGTTACACCACACCCACGAACATAGAGTCTGCTGTGGCCTTGCCCAGCTGATAATGTGAAGTTCTCCCAAGGACAGTGATGGCCACTTCCTCTCTGAACCAAGGGCACTCAGCTGTGCTCCCCACCTCTGCCGGGGGAGGCTGTGCTGGGTGTGTGGCCATGCCCTTCAAGCTCTAAGCAACCCCACCTGATTCTGTGAGGGATTCTTGGTAACACACAGACACTCCACCATGTACATGAATACGTCCAACGTCTAAGGGGTTGGCCCTTCACTTCACACCCAGGCTCGCGAATGCAAGCAGCGGAGGGGAAGGATTCCTATAAGTGATCCGACCTTAAAACCATGGATTGCTCCTCTGTTCCCATCAGCCCCTCATTCCTGTCGGTATCACTTAAGAAAGCTGCCAGAGGAAGCAGAGGACGAAGCCACAGCTCCTCCTGCAGGACAGCTGCATAGGGAAGGAGCTACTGTCCCCTGGAAATGAGATGTCCCTCAACTGATGGGACAGACACAACCAGCTAGCTGTCCTCAATAATTAATGTCAGACACGAGCCTCTATCTGCCTGCGTGACCCGGATGCAGTCCTGGGCTGGAAGCACTCCCTGGCCCAGCACAAAGACACAGGCCACCCAGCCTAGGCTGGCAGAGAGCGCCAAAAACCAATGGTGAGTATGACAACCTGCCCGCTCATACTGACTAAAAAGCCCTGCCAGGCGGCCACTGCCACGGGACTCCCAGGCAAGGAAGACCTGAGTGCATTCCTCAGAGCAAGAGCACGCTGCCCAGCAGAGCAGTTTCTGGTTAAACTTGAATAGTAGATACAGCCTTTCAGAACAGACTCCCCCTCCCTGTGGCATTTTTAGCATGGCTTTAGGGGAGATTTGGAATACTCTTTCCTGAAACTCCTTAAGTGACTAAAGGTCACACTGACATCACAAACTCAAGGTTAGGGATTTTAAGAAAATGCACTGCAGGCGTTGAAGCGTACAAACCTCCAGAACTTCTGGGTCATTTCCGTCCTTTTAAAGAATAGTCTGTCCCTCTGAAGTCTGACTTTTTATTTCCAGGTAGGGATTCACTCCCATGAAACCTTGGCCCGACCCTCATCAGGTTTACCTGGTGTGTAAATTTCTCCTTGAAATCCCTGGTCTTCTCCCTTCTAAATTTCACCCCTTTCTCACCATGGACTGTGACCACAACTAAACCTAACATCTATCTGTCTTTTTGGCTGGTTTCCCATTACAACTTTCAGCCACTTTTCTTTCCCAGAGGCTTTGTCCCTTTAAGGAAACCTGTACAACTTCCAGGGCATGGCCTTGGAAAAACAAAGCCCGTTGGAGAACGTGGAAAGCAAACACATCCACAGGCTAGCGCTTGGGAGGAGGTGAAGCCCGGACTGCACGCCTCTCTGCACACAGTGCCCGATCACACTCCCAGATACGTTTATAAACACAGCAGAAACCACCCAGCGAGTAGGTGCCCTCCTTCAGAAGAGCTGCAGGAACAATCGCAAGGCCGCTCTGGAAACTGGACAACAAGTGTCCCAGACCCATAGGTGTGGCGCGGCCAGCAACAGAAGGGCTGCGCAGGGACAGAGCCTGGGCACCCGGGTGGGCTTCACGCTGTTCCAGCGGGTCCGGGCTGGCTTGCCGGATTCCGGGGACGCCCACAGCCTGCCCTACGAAACAGGCTAGAGCCAGGGGAAGGGGCCAGCGCCCCCCTCCGGTGGGGGACGCAGGTCCAGGGCACCCTGTGCCTGGCTCACCGCGGCGGGGTGGCAAGCCGGGATCGGTTCTCTTCCATCCCCACCCTGGCGCCAGGCGAGGACAGGTGGCCGGAGAGGGCTGAACGCCTGTCCCTCTGTCCACACGGACTTCTGCCCCCCGTCACGGCACCCCTCCCAGCCAAGTCCGGGGAAGAGAAGCCGGGGACACAGCTCGGGGACTCCCCTTGGCTTAGCTCAGGCAACGGAGAATAAATGCCAGGCCTTACAGACCTGCAGAACCAAGCCCAGCGCCCGCAACACCCCTACACATCTGAGTGCCCTGCGGCAGCCTCCTTTCCGGATGGTTTTTGGGGCGCGGTGCCACACCCCAGCGGTCAGAGATGGAGACGCTGAAAAGAGGACGTTAGTAAACATGGAAGCCAAGGGCGGCGTTAATTGCACTGCAGGGCCGGAGGGAGGAAGCACAGCAGCACGGAGAATAATACCCGGATTCAGGTCAAGCAGAGATGTGATCAGAGAGGGGACGTGCAGAGTGCGTTTTAAACAGGATAGTTTTACGCCGGAAGAGAGTTACTGGAAAGAAAAACACCCCGTGCTGCCCCTCCCCAGCAGGGGCTCAGCACCCCTAGATCCTGCAACACCCTGACCTCCCAGGGAGCCCCTCCCTGGCAGCTCCAGGACTGCCCTGGGCTCCGGCTAACTCGGGCTGCTGCACCGCTGTCTGGCCCCCCTGGGCGGAGCTCCGTCCCGGGGCGCTACCTGTGCTATCATGGGATCCAACATCACTCTCTCTGGGGGGGATAAGCCCGTTTCTTCTCAGGGAGCCGGCAGTAACTCCATGTTTGCGCAACTGGTGGCGTTCACAGTTAGATTTGGTAGAAAAGAAGGCATCGCATTTTTGACAAGGGAAAGGTTTCTGACCTGAAGCAGGAAAAAAAAAATATATATTTATCTGGCTTTCTACAGCAATGGAAAAGAAAAGTCGCTTTTGATTTAATCTCCTGGGGTTACTGGCATTTGTTTCCCCCTCCTCCACCCCTTCCTTTTAAGAAAAGAAACAAAACATTTAAAACAAAACAAAACAACGGAGAAACACCAGTTACTAAAATGATAATTTTCCGTCAACTTGAGTGGAAAGACGTGTTTGTCTTCAAAATATTAAAAGAAAATTAACAATGAAACCAAGATAACATGTTTGAAGTAAAACAATGGTATAATAATTAAAATATATCAAATAATGACAACTGCGTAAAAGTGGAGAGTTTTAGAGCGCGAGACAACACGAAGGAGTGTGCTAGGCGGCGCCGGACAGCAACACCCCGTGGGGAGCGGGGGCACAGGAACAGGCGCAGATGCCCCGGCCCTGCCCAGAGGTCAGGGAGCCCAGCCTGGGAAGCCAGCGGAACCCCACAGGGCAGCCGGCCCCCCAGGTCCTCCCGCGGGGCTGCTGGGACCTCTGGGTTCTCTGAGTGCTGGACCTGCACCAATCCTGTGCTCGCTCACAGAAGTGGCGGAAAGAGGAAGCCGGGCAGCAGCTCTGTACCGCTGAGGAGTGGACACTGAGCTGGGCCCTCCGCCCTTTCCCCCTTCCCTCGGGGAGGCCCGTCTGCTGTCTTGGCCTTTTTATTTGTATTCCTTTTGTTGTACTGTAAACACGATGTTTCCAAATGTAGTCAAAGCCTCTGCCACTTATTCTGGGTTTGTGTGGATGGTGCAGGGAAGGGAAGCGGCAGGGAGGAAGTGGGAGAGCAGAAGAGGCAGGGCAGAGAAACGGAGAGGGAAGAGAGGGGGAGGGAGGGAGAAGGAAGAGGAGAGGAACGGGAAGGGGGGAGGCAGGAAAATGCGAGAGGAGGGGCGAGGGGCAGGGAAGCAGCAGGAGGGCAGGAGAGGAAGGCCAGGGGGCGCTGGGAGGAGGAGAGGGGTCCCGTGGGTTTCAGGACAGAGAAGGTGGGGGTCATCATCTACCTGCTGCATTGCTGGTTTCTTCCTTTTTCCCTGTGACCAGATTCTAGGTCCCAGCTTCCCATCTCACAGGGGAGATGTGTCACATGGTCTAGTGCTGTTACCTCAGAATCTTGGGCATGCCACAGCCAAACATGTGAGTCAAGAACTGGCAGAACAGGGTAAGGCATACCGGCATGCAACAGCACTCCAGAGGGAGGCTGAGGTAGGAGGGTCACTGTGAGTTCGAGGACAGCCTGGGCTACACGGTGAGTTCAGGGCCGGCCTGAACTGCAAAAACCAGAACTGGTGGACTGATCATAGCACAGCTCTGTGCAGACACAAATCCCAGGACCTTGGGCCACTGCAGAGACCAAGGTCAGATGCTTGCTGGAGCTTGGCAGGGCCTGGTGCTAGGCAAGGGCTGAGCCACAGGGGCAGCTGGCTCCCCAAGGGAGGGAAGGACGAATGATGGGCACCACCAGGTCCCATGACTCTGGGGGCACCTGTCACAGTCCAAGGGGTGCGAGACACTGTACAAGAGCCATGGCAGATGGGGTGTTTACTCCCTCCTGAGTGGGGACCCCTGTGAAGAAGGCCCAGTCTCCCCTGCTGCTGCTCCAGGATGGCTCCGTGGCAGAGGCCCTGGGTCCCATCCCCAGCACCCCGGACCCCTGGGGAACAAGTCAGAGCCTTGGCTTCTCGCTTCTCCTGAGCACATTCACTCTGGTTAGTGCTGCACTTCAGGCTGGCTCAACAGCCAGGCTGCCGGCTGCAACAGAGACAGAGGCAGAAAGCCAGGCGGTGGTGCTGCAGCGAACAGACCGTAGCTGCAAGGGCCGTTTCACTGAAGAAGCCTGGTGCCTGCGACAGTGTGGGGGGCCCTGCACCCTGGACTCCAGCACCCCCAGGAGAGCATGCCCAATGTGGTGAAGCGCAGCCCCAAAAACTGCTGCTCTCTCACGAAAGGACGGCAGGGCCCAAAGGCAGGTGTCCCACCCAAAGACCTTGCCTGGCTTTCCTTTCCCTCCTGAGAGGACACAGCTCAAGCCCTTGCCCCCAGGGTAGGGCATCCTTGTATTTCCTCTCCCCACTACACCTGCACAGCGCATGTGCCGGGCTGAAGAGGCCACAGCTGCCACTTGAGAAAGTTAAGAGCAGCCAAATAACATACAGCTGGTGTCCGAGGTGCTTTCCACACTTAAGTATTCTACCAATGAGCTGCACCTCAAGCCCTTTACAATTTTTATTTTGATGCAAGGTCTTGTTGGGTTGCTCTGGCTGGCCTTGAACTTGTGATTCTCCTGCCTCAGCCTCCTTATGTAGCTGGGGTTATAGGCAGGAGCCATCACCTGGCTCTTAATTTAATTACACAATTAATTAATTTACACAGACTCTGCTTTCCTGGGAGCAGTGGGCAGGAACAGGTCGGGGAATGACCCCCAGGGTGCCCGAGATGGACCTCAGCTGTCCCAAGCTTCCACCCTGTCTCTGTGGGACAAGGACCTGATCTGGGGGAAGGAGGCAGAAGATGAGGCCAGAGCTGCAAGGACACAGGACGAGATGCTCAGGGAGGGACGGTGAGGAACCAGGACCTGTCTCCACCAGTAGGAAGCTGGGGGCTGGAAGATGACAGCCGACAGCAACTTCCTCCTCAGACAGTTCCCGGACCTGCGCCAGGGAAAAGGGCTGTGCCTCACGCCCTGCCACATGCTTAGCATCGGGTCTCCTGCTGCCCCTGGGGTGGCAGCCTGGGGAACACGTGCGTGACACAAGAGCGGGGAGCCAATGACTGGGTCTGTTGAGGGAGGGAGGCGGGTGACCTGAGGATGGAGGAGCCTGTACCACTGCGGCTGACTGGAATGGAGCTGATTTACTTTGTATCATTTTATTTTGAGATAGGGTCTTGCAATTATTTGTCCAAGCAGCCTTTTGAGATTCTCCTGCCTCAGTGTCCTGCAGAAAGCCATCAGCTAGACATGAATACCACAATACCACACTTCAAAGGCTGAAAGATGACTATAATCACAGCACTTTGGGAGGGCGAAGCAGGAGGATCGCAACTCAGTCTGGGCAATTTGGTGGCTTAGCTTGTCCTTGCCTAAATTAGCTGGGGATGCAGCTTACTGCGAAGGCAATCCAAAGTACTGACTTAAAAAAAAGCCGCCAGTGGTGCAAAGCAGTTAGTGGAGCCATCATAGTGTCCAGCATCATTAAAGAACCCAGTTAACAGCATTCTGCTCATAGCTGTGCCACCCCCCCATTTCCCATGCTTCGGGACTCAGATCATGGGGGCTGCGGGATATGGGGGGGGGCCCTGGAGCTGCACCTCTCCTCACCCTCGGGATCAGCAGCAAGCTGGCCCCCTCCCAGGACTGCAAGGGCCCCAGTTCCAAAGCACTCTCGCCTGGGGAAGCACAGGGGAGGCTGTCAGGGACCAGCACCTGGTCTACTTCGGTTCCCAGAGCCACGCAAGGAGGGCGCAGAACAACCTCACGCTGACACTGCTCCATGGGTCTGGAGTGAGCCTGCCTTTACCTCGGAGTTTGGGCGCCCCCACATTCTGCACCAAGGGGTCTGGCATCCCAGAGCTGCACCGCTGGGGGAACTTGGGTCAGGCGTCTGCGGGACTGCAGCCGGGTTCTGGGAGGGCGAGCCTGGCCACCCCAGCTTCTGGGGGAGGTTGTCAGCTCCCTGGGAACAGAAATATCTGAGCATGGCGGGAAATAGTGTCTCACAAGCAGGGGGCGACTGGAGGACGGCGGGCAGGGGCAGGGGCCGCCACCAATCACCAAATCTCAGCCATCTGCTGCTAAAAAGAGGTGACAGAACTACTTCTCCAAAGACCCTGCAGGCAATAAAAAGGGCAGTGAACACCACCACTGTGTGAGGCCCTGTCTAGAAACTGCTATCTTCCTGAGGACTTGGCCTCATGAGGGCTGAGGTATTTCAGTGGAAAGAAAATGAGTCTGAATGAGAACCGGAATGCTGGCTGCACTGCTCCACCCTCCCTCACCCGCACTGCTACAGGCGGACCACACACACGCCAGCCTTCTCCCCAGTCAACGCTGCCAGGCGCTTCGACCTCCTCTTCGTCCCTCCACCTGGGCGCTTACCGGCCCGCCTGCCGCAGGGTTTCCTCCCGTCACCGTCCTTCCCAGGGGCCACAATTAGCCAGCCGAATCTGGACACCCAGTTGGACTGGGACTTCAGGTCCCCAACAAGTAATATTTAGTCTCCCAAACACCTGGGAGAAAAACTTGTAGGTCACTTATCTGAATTTCACATTTAACTGGTGACCTGTATTTTTCTCCGGTCCATTTGGTTTCTAGTCTTATCGATTAATACTTGGGTTATGAACTCCAGAAAGGCAAAGATCTCTCAATTTACTTAGTTCAATGATATAAACCCTGTGAGGATATTTAGAAAATTGTAATTAAAGTGTGTAATCACTGGTATAAATTATTTAAGATGCAGTCCAAATCCTAAACTCATCTTTAAAACTCAACTTACAGAAACTTACAGTATCAGAGAAATACTGTCAATTTAAATATGCTATTTAGAATATTAGTACTTGGAGGGTTTCTCTGAAAGAGCTGACAGTATTAGTGTAAATAAAAAAAAAAAATCTACTCTTACCCATCACCAATTTTGAAATGCCACAGGGGAAATGCCACCTGCCTCAGTGGACTGAAAGAAGACGCCCAATGTTACATTTGCAGTATGCCTGGAGGCTCAAAGAACCTCACAATGTTCTGGGGCCGGGTGTGGCGCTGCGCCTGCCTGGCAAGCTCAAGGTCCTGGGCAGTGGGGTTTACAAAGCTGCGTGGAGCCCAGCAGGATAGTGTCACCGTCCTGGGCCCACCATGCTCAGTCCTCCGTTCCCACCTCTCTGAAGCTACCTGCACGCTTCACCCGCACGGCCTGGAAAACCTGGGAAGGGACGGGGAGGCACACACAGGCCCCACGGGCTATGACCACTGTCACCTGCAAGCTTGCTGCGCTGAACGCGTCCCCTCACCAGCCGCCCCAGGGCTCAGACACAGGCCACCGTAGGAGCTATGGACACGGGACACGCAGCACCCTGAGGTGCTTGTGGCTCCCGAGCCCCGGGAAGCCAGGCACACAGGCTGTGTGGAGAAGGCCCCTCCTCCACCCGCTCCCTCCCAGGCCTGGCCCCTGTCGCCCCTTACCCGTGTGCGTGAGCATGTGCCGCTGCAGGGAGCTGGCCCATGGGAAGGCCCGGGGGCAGTGGGGACAGGTGACCTTCTGCAGGCAGTTGGCGTAAGAGTTCCGCTTCGCTCGCAGCAGCCTGTCCTCGGGGGGGCCGCCCTGCTCCTCATCACTCGGCCCAGGGGGGTCGCCGGGCCCCCCGGCCGCCTCCTCCCGAGCATCGTCCTCTGCGGTCTGCAGAAATGGGCTGAACTTGTTGGTGTCCGTGGTGGCCAGCATCTTCTCGACGCTGGCAAACTCCCCGCTCGAGTCCAGGTCCACCCTGACGCTGTCAACACACAGCTGGCTCCTTGCTCCCCTCTTGCGGCCTCTCTTCCGGGAGGAGTCGGTGGGGCCCTGCTCTGTGGGGGACGCCGCCTCGGGGCTGCCAGCCACGGGGGCCGGGTCGCTGCACTGCTCCTTAGGGCTCCGGGCTGCAGCTCCGGGGCTCGCACCCCCCAAGCTGTCCGAGGCTGCTGTGCTGCTGCCGCCAGCATTCATTGGACCGGGGCCGGGGTCGGCCACCTTGGTCTTGAGCAAGGTGGGGGCCGAGGACACAGACGAGATGATCTGGGCAATGGAGGCCAGCGGAGGCAGCTCCTCGGTCACGGAGGGCTTTGGCAAGAGCAGAGGGGGCTTAGGCCGCAGCGGCCGCAGCACTGTGGGGCTGCTCAAGAGGGCAGAGCTGCCCAGGACAGGAGGGCTGCTGACCAGCGCCGGGGAGTAGATGGGCACCGCCAGCTGCACGGAGCCCTGGAGGGGCTGGGCGTTGGGGTCCAGGGGCGCGGTGGTGGTCACCACGGTGGCGGCAGGGCTGTCTCGGATCCCACTGGGCCCCAAAGCCGGAGGCAGGGTGGAGCCGGGCAGCGAACAGGAGGAAGCCAGCTGCGTGGCACCGCCCCCTTCTTGCTCTGGCTTTTTGGCCTCGCCAGGAGCGGCTGCGTCCTTGTCTCCTTTCCTGCAGTTCTTGGGTATGGACAGGTCGATGGGCTCCATGGAGCAGTCATAGGGGCCCAGGAAGGCCACGTTTTCCTGCTTCACCTGCACCAGCGCCAGGCCCTTCTGGGAGAAGTCCAGCGGCTCGCCGAGG